TGTTTGCCTATTTCATACTATAACTAATTAACATATTTTCCCTAGTTTACATTTATTCATCTCTTAGAAATTGTGCATTTATTACAGTATGTATAATCACTGCAATAATAAATAAATGAATAAATTAGGTTAATTAACATGCATCCTCAACCAAAGTATGCACACTTATACTCAATTTGTAAATCTGTAGTGTCAAGTATGTATGAACAAATATCAATCATTAAATAATATTGCAAAATTCTAATGCAAAAACAAGAGATTGAGGAGATATCTAATAACATTGAATAATCATTACAATCCAAATTAAAATTGAATTATGATGACGATGTCTTTTGTAAGCAAAATTGTAATTCATCGTCATCACCGAAATCATTTTCGTCGTTTCGTCGGCATACGTGAGTTTGAGGATTTCAAATTTGTTTAAAATTGAGAAACAAATTAATTTTAGGTTAGGGATTTGATATTTGTAGAGTTACGGAAGAGAAGAAGATGTAGGTGAAAAAAGAAGTAAAAATGGCATTGTACTAATAATAGAGGGCGTGTAGGCAGAATTTCCTAGGGTGTAGGCATTACTAATTACAAATTTTTCCCTAGACCCAAGACTATGCATCACTCCCTACGCCCCCCTTATACGACGTCGTCCTTCATGCAACTCCCCCTACACTCTACACTCCCCTTAATTAGCTGTTTAGTATTTTTATTTTTAAATTTTTTTTTTGTTAACTTTCTTTTCAAGCTATGTATTTATACATTATTTACCTAATTTTTTTTCATTCTTCTTTTTAGTTGAATTTTATTTTCTCTCTCTTATATTTGATCATGTTGCATTTTCTCTCTCTTCTTTCACGTAATTCGCTGCTTTTTTCACACAAATTTCATGGACAAAAAATAAAACCCTATTTTCTCTCTCTTATATTTGATCATTTTGTCAAGTGGTTAATTCTAAATTCTATTTAAAATCTTATTTTCTTTCTTATGATAATTTCCCCAATTCACTAAAACCCTAAATAAAACAGAATAACGAAAAATAAAATCGAATTGAAAGCATGTTGATGTAAGAAAATTGCTAGCTAGTTTGAGTGTTTGACCTCTTCCCAATGCTTGCCATCTAGAACATGGGCTTTTTTTTCCCTCTACTCACTCACTCTATCCCACCGCCTCTACGTACACTTTAACCTAATAGATACGTACTTGATCCCAAAGTAATATCTTCTATAAAACAAAACCTAAAACCCAATTTCACATATATACATTCATCACACCCTAAACAAATTAACCCTAAAAATCTATCACAACAATGACATCTACCACCAACACTACCACTCTCTTAGGCCCTCCTAAAATCCCCCTCTCCTCCCTTCCCTCCGTCGCCACCGCCACCTCCGATAACAATAAATCTGATTCTTCTTCTGATTCTTCCCGTTATTCTTATCACCCTCATTTGGGCTACACAGAAAATGGTTCCGCAACCTACATAAACTCCGGCAACCCGGCCGTAGACTTCTTCTTCCATGTTGTCCCTAACTCGCCATCCTTGGAAATCATTCGCCTTTTACGACTCTCTTGGGAACACGACCCGCTTTTAACCCTTAAGTTAATATGCAATCTTAGGGGTGTTCGAGGTACGGGGAAATCAGACAAAGAAGGGTTTTACACTGCCGCTTTATGGCTCCATGAAAACCACCCTAAAACCCTAGCCCTTAACATGGGCCCTATTTCGGGTTTCGGGTACTTGAAGGATATGCCTGAGATTCTCTTCCGTCTTCTAGAAGGTTCCAATACTAGGAAGCGTAAGGAGGACGTTTCCTGTTTGCCGTATCGTTACGGTAGGCGTGGTGGTTTATGAGTCGGTGGTTGATGATGAGAAGGTTAAGCATGGAGGATGATAATGATAGCGATAGTGAGAGTGATGATAGCGATGATGAAAGAAAGAGGAAATTAAAAGAGGATAAAAGAATTAAGGATGAAAAGAAAGAGAAGGAAAAGAAGGAGAAGAAAGAAAAAGCTAGGGTTTTGAGGCTTCATAGGAAGAATGAGAGGACTAACAAGATTTTAAACAAGTATAATCAAGAATCCGATTTTCGGCTTTTGTACAATTCAATAGCTGATATATTTGCTGAATTATTGAAAGAAGATATTGAATTGCTTCAAAAGGGTGATTTATACAAATTAGGGCTTTCTGCAAAGTGGTGTCCTACAATTGATTCTTCATATGATGAAGTGACATTGCTCTGTGAAAGCATCGCGAGGCGAGTGTTTCCTAAGGAAGTGTATGAGGAATATAAGGATATGGAGGATGCTCACTACGCTTTTAAGGTCCGTGATCGGTTGAGGAAGGAGGTATTAGTCCCTCTAAGGAAGGCACTCGATTTGCCCGAGGTTTATATAAGTGCTATGAAATGGGATACCTTGCCTTACAATAAGGTCCCTTCGGTAGCAATGAAATTGTATAAAACATTGTTTTACAAGCATGATGAAGAAAGATTTGTGGAGTACTTAGAGAAGGTGAAGATTGGAAAGGCGACGATTGCAGCCGGAGCATTGCTACCTCATGAGATAATTGCTTCATTAAATGATGATGAAAATGGCGGTGAGGTGGCCGAGCTTTAGTGGAAGAGAATGGTTGATGATTTAGCAAAGAAGGGGAAGTTGAATAATTGTATGGCGATTTCTGATGTTTCCGGGTCTATGATGGGGGAGCCAATGGAAGTTTCGGTTGCTCTTGGTCTATTGATTTCGGAGTTAAGTGAGGAACCATGGAAAGGAAAACTAATCACATTTAGTACTAATCCAAAATTTCATACCATCACAGGAGAAACATTGAAGGAAAAGACGAATTTTATCAGGGATATGGAGTGGGGTATGAGTACTGATTTACAGAAGGTGTTTGACAGGATTTTGGAGGTGGCAGTAAGAGGGAAAATTCCTGAAGAACAGATGATAAAGAGGCTGTTTATTTTCAGTGATATGGAGTTTAATCAGGCTTCGCATCGTTCTTGGGAGACGGACTATAAAGTGATACAGAGGAAGTATAAGGAGAGTGGGTATGAGAGGGTGCCTGAGATTGTGTTTTGGAACCTTAGGCGCTCTAAGGCTACACCGGTTCCGAGCACGGAACCTGGGGTTGCGCTTGGCGGAGGAAGGTGGGAGGAAGGTGGGGTGTTGAACCCTGAAGCTGTTATGCTTGCTGCTGTTGCTAAGCCAGAGTATGATACACTTGTTATATATGATTAATTATGGGTGACTTGTAATTTTTGGCTAACAATAATTTTGAGAGGTTTAATTATGTGTACTCAAAGACTATTCTAGATAAATAGTCTGTTTTGTTTTTTGCTTCTTTTTGTTTGATAATAATTTTGCCTAGCTTGTTTGAGTCTTAAACTCTTGAAATGTTCCGTACAAAGTGCGTCTGCTCGAATTTGGTTTATGCATAGCTTTCGAATACTCCTCGGCTTCTCCTCTGTCGATTGATTAGCCATTGATACATATCATAGACTCTCGGCTTCTCCTCTGTCGATTGACTTGTCATTGATACGTTCTCTGCTTCCCTAAATGGTGAACCATTTCATCTCTGGTGGTTTATACAAGTATACACTATCTTTACACGAATTACATATATATACTTGTGTATGAATATGATGTGTAAAGTTAATAAGTTAATCACCTTACTATGGCTTGATTTCAGTTCGTTTAGTGCAATATATATGTATCAAATGAACAAATTTTCTCTAAATTGCTCATAATTTGTCAGATTGTATTGTTTCCTACCACGATTCTGAAATCTTACAAGGAGTTAAACTGCAAGCTATGCTGATCAAATATAAACTAATTTCGGAAATGGTCAATATATGAAAAAAAAAAAAAAAAAACAAAACCATTGAATAAAGGGTGCTGAGGTTTTTGTAAAGTTGCATATATTGCCTCCTTCATTTTCTGTGAACACCAAGGCACATTATTGATGAGTTCCACAAACTGAAAGCGTTTTGCTCGGCGAAACATGTATTCAAGTCAGTTAAGCTAAGCAGACTACCAAAGATTTTGCCTGCGAAAACCAAGGTACGTAATTTAAGTTGCCAAACCACTGTCAGGATCATCAACTACTGACTTTTTTTTTTTTTGAGGAAATCACCTACTGAATATGATGCTCCTTAAAATTATACATTATTTCACTTGTTTTTAAAAATCAATTCAAATTATCAATCAAATGTGCATAATCGTAAATTTAAACACATTTTAAGTTTTGGAATTAACATTTTTTTAACACATTTTGATTTACAATTTACAACCAATTCTTTGCAAAGTAATCTATCTTGTACATAACATCTCTGCTACTTTCACCAAAAAAAAAAAAAAAAAAATAAATAAAATAAAATAAAAAATATCTCTGCTACTGTGTTACTTCATTTTAGTTATTAATTGTATACCATCAATGTGATTCTGTAATGAATTCCAAATGAATGAATTATTATAAATTTTTATAAAAGTAAGGCCTTGTTCCCTTAAATAATTTGAATTTAGTAATATTCAGTAAATTTAAAGAAGAATTAATAGAAAATCAGTATTAAAAAATATATATATAAATAAAAAAATATTTAAGTTCAACAAAAATAGTTCCAATCCTACAACAATAAGGTAAAGACAACATGACCTAAATTGTTTCAATTTACGAATTTCTTAAGTTTCCCACGTGTGACATTAATAGTTAGTATTATTACGAAATACTTTGTATAAAGTTTTAATAGTCGTAAAATACAAGCTTAAGTATTTTATATCATGTTACACCTCAAATAAAAGCTATGGCCCTTTTTCCATAGGCCTTTGAGCCTTTAATTTAGGGATGATAGTTGCACTTATCTAAACTATACACCACAAAATAAACATTGTTTAGTGGCTAGTGCAACATTAACCAAACAAATAGGAATGACCAATAAAAAACTGACTCGTATCCTTTATTTTCTCTGTTACTCCTTTAAACAAAATTTATGTAACTAAACTATCACACAGAAGAGATAGAAGAGATCAAAAGAAGAGAAGCAAAACATAGACGAAAGCATGGATTTAACAAAAATGGTGATATCAAGGATTTCCCATAAATTGAGCCATAGGACGTATGTCATTGCTCCTACAAGACCATTACAGGTAAGGTTTTTACTTTTGTATATTTATTTAAATGATATAGGTTTATGGATATGAATTTGCACAATCAGTCGCCTTATTTCTAAATGTTTTATATGCATTTACGGAGTATCATATTTAGATTTATGTTTTAATATTTATATACCACGTACTATTTTATTTAACCGAAAACTCATTTTATAACAATACTATTCTTTTGAAAGAGGATAATTTGATAGGAATTTTACTCCTCAAGGATAGATCTTTAATGTATAATGTATTGTATTGTTTATTAAATTAAGGTAAATTTTAATTTGTAGTCATTTAAATGAGATAATGAATCACATTGATCCATTTCATTGATTCCATTTCATCAATTATCAACAATTATCGAATCTATCTATACTATTAAGTGAGACTTTCGTTTCATCAATCATCAACAATAGAATCTATATACTACCTATGTTTTAAATTATTTGCAACGATTTGACATAAATTGTAAGTAAAAAATATCTAATCGTTGCAAATAGTTTAAAATGCAAGTAGTAAAAGATCTGTCACATTAACCTTTTATAAAGAAATAATACACATATCTAGGTAGGTCCCCCAAATCAATCCGTTATCATTAAAAGTATGTACTAGGTTTGAAACATTCTCATGCCAATAAGTAAAATTAACCATATTAACATGTACCCACAAGAATTTCAAATACAAGCAAGGATCAAAGCTGAAACCCTAGATTGACAAACATTCTTTAAAATATCAATACAAGTGATTAATCATTTCATTGTATGTAATAGTGTAACCCTAAGATTGTAATTGTAATTGTGTAACGATTACTCTATTGTAGAAAATTTTTGGAATTGGGAAATCGGAGAAAGAAAAAGAGGTAGACGACGCATGTCGAAAGGCAAAAGAAGCAACTCATGCAGTGAAAGAAGGTGCACAACAAATCAAAGAAACGGGTGAACATGTCAAAAGCACAGCTGAGAAAGTGTCACAAACAGCGGGTAACATTGTTAACAAAATGAAGGAGCCAATTATAGGTGCAGTGAGCAACGCATGGGGCAACACCACTGAGAAGATTGAGGACAAAGTTGCTGAAAAGATTAGAGACAGAGTCATGGGAAAAGAAGACCAAGAAAAAAGTGATGATGAAAAGTCTAAGTAATTAATTTAGTGTTATAGTTGGGCAATATCTATTATACACTCGGGTCTATCATACATCCAAAGTCTTGTTATTTTGTACAATTGGTTGTTTGTGAGTATGTAGCAATGAAAAATAAGTGTGGGTGCACTATGCACGTAGTACACTTGTTTGCGAAGTAGACACAATCCCAAGTGACAAATATACATACTTTGCTATATCATATTGAGTTGATATATATGTGATGTCAATAATTTACTTACCATTTTTTTTTACTCAAATACGTATGCACATTATTTGAACATAATGGACATAATGTTAAAGGACTAACTCAACCAAAATCTTAAGTTGATAGTGAAACCTAGGATCGATTAAACTTATATTTTTTTAGAAAATTGAAAAAAATCACTAGCTTGAAAATCAAAATATGCACAATACATTCAATTGAAAAAAAGTTGCATATTCAGTGAAAAAAGTTAAAACATCATGACATTAGTCCGTCTCATTCTTCTCGCTCATTTTTTAAAAATCTTTTCATAATTTCAATCTTATAATTGGGTATTTGGATGCAATGAGATGATACATAAAGTAAATAGATTTTCACCATGTAGCTAAGTCAGTCCTCCACTCCTCCTAATCAAGATTCCCGTTAGAGGTTCAATTCCGGTTCCGGCCAGGTCTTGAGTGTCCAATATATTAGTTTTAGCTCTTTATTCATGTATATGTGTTGAGAGTTGTTCAATTCAATGAGATCTTGTAAAGGGAAAAGGGTTTGAGTGTGTTCTTGTATTGGGGTGTGAGGATTTGAGAGGATTCTGGAGTGAGGCCGAATGAGTAGGACTCTGGAAGTCTGTATCGGGGATTCCGATCAAGCAAATTACAGTTAGTTCTTGCTGAGTTTCAGGTAGGAACTGTCAGTCAAGTTCAAGGTAGGAAATTGTGGGAAAAGGTCCAATTGTAATAGGTGTAACTAAGAGTTTTGGCATATTTTAATGAAAAGTTTGAGTGAAAATGCATAGTCCGGTCTTGGAAGATTTTCTCGTGAAATCTGTTTTATATTGTCTAAGTTCCTTTCAGCCATCTGTTTTATAATCTGTAAAAAATTAGACATTATGAAACATACTACAATTCATCCCTTTCTTGTAGTATATCACCCGAGTAACATCTATCAAAGGATGTTTGATTTACATGATATCCTTTGCATAAATAAATTAAAGAAAGATATTAAAGATTAGTTGACCGGACATTTAAGAGCATAAGTTGTAGGTTGACTAGACTGTTTTTTATTATTAGCCGCGATTAGCAAGAGAATCATCTGAGTTATAGATTGTTAGGACTTAGGAGATTAGGACTCGGACGTTTAAGAGCATGAGTTGTGGTTGACTAGACTGTTTATAATAGACCGTGTTTAGCAAGGAAATAATCTTTTTTATTACTACGTATATATGTTCAGATCTACAATTATGGTTGAGTTAAGTAAAAATGGCGTTTACATTTTTTAAGTAACTAGGGTGGTTAATATGCACGATGTGCGGGCTCTATCTAGTCATTTTGGGGAGTTCTTTCAGTTGTTGGCAACCTAATGAGAGAAAATAATTAAGTAAATATTTTTAGGGGTTTAAATGTCTGCACACTATTCTAAAGAAATTAAAAAAAATAATTAACGTTAATGAGGGCAATTAAGTTAATTAATATTTTAGACAATATATATAATTGTCCAAACACTATTAATAAGAGTTTTTGTTTTTTTTTTTTTGATGGGACACTTTTCATAAGAGTTAACCATTAAGCTTAGAGGCAATAAAAATTATATAAATTAGGGCATATAGATAAACAAACATTTCATAGATATAACTGTCCTCACACTATTCATAAGTGTTTTCTCATACTTTTTAAAAGGTAGGGAAAAAAAGAAGATAATAAAGACTTTTTAATGGCGATAATAGCCATTTTAGGCAAATTATAATTTAGACATAATACCCTTTTGGTGTTTACTTTTTCAAAATTAATAATAATTCTCCACACTTTTTAAAAAGTAATAAATAAATACTCACTATTTAGAAATAAAAATCTTATCAATCAATTATATAATATTATAATAAACTAGCTTAAATCCCGTGCAACGCACGGTTGTTACTAACTTTTATATTGTAACAAATTACAATGCTATTTTAATATACTTTACGTAAATAAAGGTATACAATTTTTTTCTAAAAAAAAATAATAAGTTTAAGGTCTATAGAGTTTTATATTAAAAAATGAAAATTTTGATTAATACCAGTGTTATATATATATATATATATATATATATATATATATATATATATATATATATATATATATATATATATATATATATATATATATATATATATATATATACATATATATATATATACATATATATATATATATATATATGTTACTAAAATGAATTTTCTCTTTTAAATTGCAATCAAGTTTATTGCAAATTAGTAAAGTGAAACAAAGAAAAAATTGATAATATAATATGAATCTTAGATAATAGTATTATTTTGATAATCAATATGTTCATTTCTTTTTAATAAAATACATAAAAAGATATGTAAAAATATTCCAATTGATTGTATATGGAAAGAATATGATTGTCAATCGGGAAAGAATATCTTATGGGTTATAAATAATTTTCTTGAAGTTTTTTTGCAGAAAAAAAAAATAATGGAAACGAAAAATGGAGGGAAAATTTTTAACCAATAAATGACATGTGTCATTTCTGATTTTGCTTTTAGTATAAAGTTATTGATTGATACTAGGAATAACACGTGTCACCTCCTAGTGCTGTTATTTCGCTCTAAAAAACTATTGCCAATAAAAAAATTCCTACTTTATTTTCTTTCAATATATATCCTTTTTCATTGACAATATTATAGACAATGAATTTACTTATTATAGCAAGTATATATTCTTAGTAATAATATATATATTATTTGCTAAAAATGATATTATAATAATATATTTTAGTCAAACTTTTTTATTCAATTTATAGTAGAAATATCTTAACCTAATTTTCTTACAAAATAACATTAGATACAAAATAACATTAGACATACAAAATATAATTTTTTAATTACTCTTTCCACTTTTTTAAAGTATTACGCTATTATTTTGTTTCCGTTTTTATTTAAGCGTTACAATTTTTTTTATTTTTGGTAAACTACTGTATTTAAATGTTAAATCTCTCTCTTCTGATGGCCCTTGGTCAAACTCATTACTACTCCTTTATTATTTCTTTCTTTCTTTCTTTCATTCTCACATCTGTCACTTTTAAATAAAATATTAACTCCATATGTTTTATTATAATTTTTAATACTGTAACTATCCCACTTACATATTTTATATTAAAGTCAATTAATAAATTGCCTAAAATTATATACCGGTTAAAGTGTAACACTTAAAAAACCAGAGGGAATATTCAACTTATTAAGCATACAATATTGTTAGATACATTAATAATATTATTTTTCACAAAAAAAAAAAAAAAAAAAAAACAATATTTAGTATAGTAAATTCAAATACTTAATTAATCAATAGTCATATGACATTTCCTTAACTGAATGTTTTTTTTTTCCAAATTTAACTTATAATGATATTGTTTATATACACCTTGGTGCAAGATGCACCTTAAGGTCAATTATATTATTGCTTAAAATCTTGTGTTGATCAAAGTTTGTCAACTAAACAGGGACGGAGAAAGTATCATACGAATATTAACAATGCCTTTGTTATAGTATAAGTATAAAATACGGAGTATATATATGTTATACTCCCTTCGTCCCAGTATATTTGGGGTGTTGGCATGGGCACATAGTTTAAGAAAACTTTGATGAGACCAATTAATAAATTCATTTTATTTTTTTATATGGCTGAAATTGTTTTCTAAAAATGAGTGGGCCATGAAAGAGTAGAGGAAAATCGTTTTTAATTAGTGGTCTCATGTTATATATTTAGTAATGTGTTAGTTATTCTGGGATGGACGAAAATGGGAATTTTGTCGGTTATTCTAAGATGAAGGGAGTACATATATTTTAATTTAGTGTTGAACTAACTAAAGATATTAATTTAAAATGGATTAAGTATTAATTACTCAAAATGGAGGAAGTAATTAAAAAAACACATAATACATTTGTAGGTTTGTTTATTACTCCCTCCGTTTCAGAATGATGTTCCTGTTTACGTAAATCGATGAAATTTTTGCAAATTTTTAGCCGCAAATATCTTTAATCTCACACTAGCAACAATTATAAAAGTTCGATATTAATAATGTACTCACCAAGACAAATCAAACTAGATCTTATATGACTATATTTGTTTTTATAGATTGAGTGAAATTTAAAAGATTCTCTCTTATTATTAAAAGTCAAAATATTCCTAAGAGGAACATCATTGTGGAATGGAAGGAGTAATGAGTTGATTTTACTATAACAAAAATTATTAACAAACTGGAAAAGTATTTATTATATCGATAGGTGTCTTCAAAAAAATAACTATTACAAGTATATCGTTAGGTTAATAACAAATTTGGTTTTATTAATAACCATGCATGACACGGGCCCTGGATTAGTTTCTCTCAAAATCTTTGTTTATAAATAAAAAAAATATTCACTTTTAATCAATCAAACTCTACTATTTTATTTTTCACATATAATCAACAGACACTACTAGAAATAGGCCGTTTTCCGACGGAATCGTTCCGACAGACCTATATTCCGTCGGAAAATTTGTACTTTCCGGCGGAATTAGGATCTGTCAGATAATTCCGTCGGAAAAGGTACATTACGACGGAAAATCCGTCGGAATACTTGCGACGGAAATTAATTCCCTCGGAAAAATAGGCTTCCAACGGAATATTCCGTCGGAAAGTTAAGTTATCGACGGAATTAAATTCCATCGGAAATTTCCGACGGAATATTCCCTCGGAAATCCCAATCATGCCGACGGATTAAAATTCCGTTGGAAATTTCCGACGGAATTTCCGTCGAAATCTTATTTAAAGAAAAAAAATCCTTAAACATTGAAACCCTAATCTCCTTCCTTGTAAATTCCGCCTCTTTTCTCCTTCCTTCCTTCTCTGTCTTTCCCCTTTTCTCTTTCCTGCATCTTCCCCTTCTCCTTC